TACCGTACAGGTTACAGTGAGAGCCATTTAAAAGCATCTATTCCCTAAAAAGTATCTGTTCTCAGTACAGAGTTGCCAGCTTAAGCAGCAGGAGGGTCTGCCCTAATTCAAGAACTGAGGATGGTGGTTTTTATGAGCATGATGTTTGTTTTGAGTCTTGGTTTATTTTATGAGTCTTTGTATTTGATTTTATGTTTACTGGCTAAAACTGTTTTTGGTGTTTATTTGTAACTTTGTACAATTGTTTTGTTTTTCCTTTCCTGGTGAATGTAATTACAAAAGTAAATTTTCACATACATTTTTTTTATTATGTATTATGTCTTAATGGTAACTTTTGTTATTAATGTAATGAGGTTTACTTTTATTTGGGTACAGCTGCTCTTGTTTTCAGTGCATCTGAAATACTTGTGTACAAATGTCGGGGTATTATCACATGCAGCAAAAATGTTAGACATGAAAGTAATGCACAAATGTAAAGTAAACTGACACTGAAATTGTATTCAGCCAGCTAAGAAATAAGACAAATAATATACCTTACTCCTCAGACAGCCCTCAGAGTGTTAAGGTTGCTGTTCAACTAGCTAGAATGTTTTGATTGCTCCCTTAACCAAGCCACTTTGCTCGAGCCATAGAAGTGGCCGTAAAAGGGAAACACCTTCTTATCTCCATTTATTTTCTCATAGCGGCGCTGGAGACAGAGGTGGCTTCAATAAGCCTGGTGGTAAGTTAATGAGATTACACTGGCTAGACCTTTAAAACTTTAAAACTTTTTTTACAAGTATATGTGTTTCACATTGTGGTATCTTAATATTTAAGCCACTATCTGAAAACATTGGGGTGTTTTTTTTTTTCCTGAGAGATCAGTTCTCTGGGTTACTTGGTTTAATTCAGTCACTGCTTTTGGTTTTGAAAGTTTTGAAAGGTAAATGGCAAATTTCACTCAAACCTGTTTACTGTTTAACCAAACCTTCAGCACTGAATTATTTTTAAAAACATTTAATACTGGGCTTAGGCTTTTCATATGATTCACATTTTTTTTGTCAAAGGGTCTAAGGTTTTCTATTTTTCAATTCAAAATCGAGGATATTGTGATGTACCATAAGATGCCATTTTCAACTTCCCAATATGTGTGACTGCATCAAAAAGGGAGTGTCTGTAATAAGTAGCATTTAGGTGTTGTTTCCTTGTACAATTGTTTCACACACTGACTTTGTTCTTGTTCTTTCCCCGTTGACCAATGGACAACAGGCCCGATGAGCAGTGAGCGTGATATGGGTAGGTAAACTTACTTAAACTAGATGTCCAAAGGCTTGTGCACATGAAACATGCATCACTTAGCATTTTTTATACATCTGTGTAGGACGCCCTGAGGAGCAGGATGACTCTGAGAACAACACAATCTACATCACTGGTTTGACTGACAAGGTCACCGAGGAGGAAATGGCTGAATTTTTTAAACATGTGGGCCCAATTAGGGTAAGAAAATGAAAAGCCCATCCATTGGTAAAAATGATCACGTGGAAACACACCAAAAACTTTGTGTTTTAGATGAACCGCAGACTTGGAAAGCTGGCTATTAAAATCATCAGAGACGATGCTGGGAAGCCCAAAGGAGATGCCACTCTGTCCTACGAGGAGCCAATCTGTGCAAAAGCAGCCGTCGAGCACTTTGATGGTATGTCTAAAGCATTGTACGAGGATATCATTTTGTCTGGCTTATTTTGAGACTAGATAATTTGAGTAATGTGTTTTTTAGCATGAACAGTTTTTAACAAAAGACATCGTAGTTGTCTCAGGGAACTGTAGTTCTCTTTTTCTATATTCTTATATTAATGGCTGATATACTTTTAATCATAGGGAAGGAGTTCCAGGGACGCAGGCTGAAAGTCTCCATGGCACGTCGCAAGCCCCCAATGGGGGGGATGAGAGGTGGCATGCCAATGAGAGATGGCATGATGGGTCGTGGAGGTACGTGTCATGACTTAGTTTTAAATATATGTCAATACATATAGTTTTGTGTGTTTATTAATAAATTGAGTCTTTTCATCATATTAGGAATGATGGGCCGTGGAGGTGACCGTGGTGGGTTTGGCCCAAGAGGTGGGCCCCGTGGTATGGGCAGAGGTGGACCCACAGGAGGCAACATGCAGCAAAGAGCTGGAGACTGGGAATGTCCTAACCCGTATGTATCACTGGGAGAAAAATGTTTATCAGGGAGGAATTTGTCATTTAAGGTTTTTTGTGCTTTTTTTTTTCCCCTAGGGGTTGTGGTAACCAGAACTTTGCCTGGAGAATGGAGTGTAACCAGTGCAAAGCCCCCAAACCAGAAGGTCTAGGCGGAGGTCCTCCATTTCCCCCTGGTGGTGAACGAGGTAGAGGTGGAATGGGAATGCGTGGAGGCAGGGGAATGGATCGTGGTGGACCAGCTGGAGTTGGAGGGCCAGGTGGTCCTGGGGGTTTCCGTGGAGGTTGGGGAGGTGACCGTGGTGGATTCAGAGGACGCGGAGGAATGGATAGGGG